CGCCGCCGACGTTTTTCATCGGCGCAATTGGCGCGCTATTTATGCACCAGTACCGAATTTTCACAGATTTGTATTTTTCTTTTTCATCTTGATTTATAGCTTCTCTTCACAATTACGTAGCCAGTAAAAAACGGGCTTCTTAGTTATCTTCATCCAGCTTCAGAGACCGAGAGTACCACTATGAACAGCGGCACAAGTTCGGTGGCCGCCGCATGAAATGACATAATGGACAAATTGACAAAAAATAAATATAATATTGTGTAGTTCTTCACCTAACGCGCTGCATTCGTGCTGCACTGCTACCACTTCATTTCTTCTGTGTATACGCCCTGTTTCGGGCACGATTATAGGCTGCCATCTTGGACTGATAATGATGCCATTTTACATCCATATGAATATTATATATACGTTGATGGTAGCGTCATGGAAGCTTGATGGGAGCTTCTGAGAGCTGGTTCAGAGCGTCTCGGTGCTCGCGCTTTACGCCCTGGTCTTTCAAAAATTCTCTGCAGGAGGAAACAATGGACAGTTTGCAATGATCTGCTAGACAGCTTTTGTGTAAGGTTAGTTTTTCAAACAAGAACTCTCGTTCACAGGCTGCTTTTCTCACTCATTTCATTTTTGCCATTCCTTTTTTTTTTTTTTGAGATCTTGTGCTCGCGTGCCTTCGCTGGAATTTGGAGAGGTGACATTTTGTTGTAGTCGCGTGCTCAAAATGAGAAATAAAAGCAGCCTGTGAACGAGAATTTTTGGTTGGAAAACAAACCTTACAGGAAAGCCGCCTTGCAGATCACTGTAAACTGACAGACTGCATGTCAATTCAGTTCAGGGCAGTCCCAAGAAATTGTCGTCTTCATCTCTGTCCGCCAAAAGGGGGGGGGGGGGGGGGGTGTAGTTAGAAGAAGGCGCCTAATTTCTGCAGCCCAGCAGGGAGCGCAGGGCGCAGCGAATAAAGATTAAAAAATCGCGGGAAGGAGAAAGAGAGAAAAAGTCAAACACTGCCTTCTTTTCAACCAAGGAAAGTGAGAAGGTGCACGTTCAGTTCGTCACACGGCGAAAGAGAAACATAACGTAGGTCACAGTGCAATAATACGCACAACACATCACAGTGCAATAACATTGCATCGCATGCGCAGAATAGGGTCTGCAGCGCTAGGCATGCTAGGGCTTGTGAGAATGGAAGACTTACAAGCACCACGGAGTGTGGGAAACATACCTGACCAGGGATCCCAAGCTCTCGGCCAATTGTTCAGCGCGTCTCGTGGCACGTCGAACAAATCAAGCAGCCTCGATTTCAAACAGCTCGTCCTAGGCCGTCAGTCAGTCAGGCATGTCCAAAGAGTTTTTGACGAGGGGAGCCAACAGCCCTAAAGAATTCGAAGAATGACTTTCGCGTTGTCACCGCTTTTGGCGCACCTCGAAAGCGTTGATCCGGAACAAATCAGGGTAGGCTTAGCTGCAATCGTCCCTCGCGTCCAAGCGGTGCCTAGCCAGGGAGGCCGATCTTAACATTTTTTACAGACACACGCACATAAGCACGCACAGTTTCACTCCAAGAGGGAATTGGTAGCGGTCGCAATGACGTACGTAACGTTCATCTACTATAAAAAGGCATGCAGTGTGTGCGATAGCTTTTTTTTTTTAAGTCTTGTAATTCTAGTATATTTTCATAATATAGCCGAGGTATGAGGCAGTTGTTACTCGCATATATTTGGGTTAAAGTACTACAAATATTTATTCGCCGCGCATGACTTCTAGAAATGATACTCCGAGAAAAAAGAAATCGCTCCAACATTTTTAAAACTAAGTTTGCTCGTGGGAGTGTTTGTTCTCTGTCTGCGCTTTTCCATGGTTCATGAGTGTTAAGCCCCGCTGCCGCTTCTATAGAATGGTGTACAATAAGCCGTATCAACGCAGTTACAGGAATTTCTACAGACTACCAAGCATACGATCACCAGGCATTTTCCCTCTGGCATATTTTGATTAAAAGAAGCGACATATTTTTGCTGAAAAGCCAATTTATGCACTGGGGCCCGGTGCACAGATGTTGCATGTTGTAACTCTTGATAATGGCGAGTGCAAAGACGGCAAGTAAAAGCCTTTATGCTATTGTCTGTGCATCCGGTGTAACGAAAACCTCTAGTCTTGAGAATGTTGGGTTAAACCATGCACTTTGCCCATTGCTATTTTTCATCATGGCGTTTCTGAATAAAATTTTTGAGTGGTGCTATGTGGAGCATGCGGCAGTAGTGCCGATGTGCTATTTGGTGCTGGTACAAAGAGAAAACTAGCTTGTATCTCTTCTTCAATGAGTCCTTTAATTAACCCTATTCTAGGGGACTGCATAGAAGACTATACGCCTGACACACTTGGAAAAGTAAAGCACATCACAAGAGACCACTTCTGCTAATTGAAGGACTTATAGACCATCACCATCTAGACTGTGGTGTTCTGCAGAAAGATGTTGAGCAGAGATGTTGACATTGTGAAAGGATACCGACGTGTCAAGCTCCTCGTTAATTACACCCGAAGATTTATAAATTGATACAGCACAACGATCATGCAAAGAATCCGCGAAAATAAAAAAAGGTATGCTTCGCGGCGGATAAGTTGTAATTAAAAACCAACACATTATTACTGGTTAATTAAACATGGTCCTTCAAATACTTTTCAGTTAGTTTATAACTGTGAGTTCTCTGCCATGGAACATTTTTTTTTAATTTTATGGATTCTTCGCTTTTGTCACACAGGTTGGTATCACTTCCCAGTAAGCGGAGAGCTGCACGTGGTTTAAATGCACCTGGGGAGGGTTCGCATTTATTGTTGACCAAAGCTATAATAATGTGGCACTCGAAATGCCGAAAATCAAAATGACGAACTTTTGGAATGCCGAAATTTAGAACACCGAAAAATCAAAAAGCCGATTATACAAGATACCGAAAGTGTAAAATGTAACAAAATCAAAACACCTAACTATCCAAACGCCGAAATATCAAAATGTCTGCGTCAAAATGTCTGCCGCGCGAGATTAGGAAGAATATGGGAGGGGCGCTCGGCGAGAGGGCAAAGTGGCGTGAGAGAGGATACCAGCAGAGGGAAGCGCAGGAGAGAGCGAAAGGTGTGATCGTCACGGTTTCGATAATCAAATGCGTCTAACTCGACTATAACTTCACTGTTTCAAAAAATTCTTACAGCTCCGTGTTAGTGGTACACTTGTGCACAATTTCCTTACCACCACTGAATTTCGACCTCTGGGTGGTTTAGGGGCCCTTCAAGTGAGCATATTAATTTACCTGCACCCCGATAAATTATTTTTCAAGTTTGAGAGCATGTTGCTGAGGCTTATCAGGGCTACGTATGGTAAATTTCTAAAGCATGACGAGCCTACTACATTTTCAATCCGGTCATAATTTCTTCGATACTGATTATCGATTTTTCTGGCTTTGCTACAAACCAAGAAAGCGATACTAGCAGAAATATACTTGTGCAAGCGTTATTTGGTTTCTTATTAAGGTAAAAAAATTACGGCATATTCACGGGGTGAATGATGATGAATGGGCGAAGCTCCGGAGGGATTCATCGGTAAACTGTGAATCTTCCGTGTAATTCGCCCAGTCGATCATCATGTAAAGACGTGAGAAACGCTGTGTGTGTATATACACAAATCAACTTTTATTTGTTCTTAGACGATGGATGGCTTGCGATGTCCCTTGCCTCGCGCGCTCGCACATCGGGATTCTGTCTGCGAGCGCGCGCTGCTGCCGCCTTGCGCTCTCTCCGCTGTGCAGCCTTATCCATCCGGCGACTCCGAGCGCGCGCCAACAGCGAACGGATTTTATTACAACGCTCCCCCTAGCGTACGTCGCCGCACTAAATCGAACGATTGCCTTCAACCAATGACACGCGCCATATGTGACATCATTCCTATTTTATAAGATCTCGCGTCTTTCATCAACTACAAGTACCACTTTCTAGTTTATAACATCTTGCATCTTTTCATCATCAGCTACAAGTACCACCATCTAGTAAACACTACAAGAACTAAACGAGAGGTGGCTACATACAGGAGACGGTACCGCCATCTAGTGAACACTGCAAGAACTAAACTAGAGGTGGCTACATACAGGCTACAGGGGACGCACAGCCCACGCCCTAAGGAGCTTCGCCCCTAAAAGTCGTAGGTAAAGGGGTGGTCGAAAGTTCTTAGGCAGCACCGCCCACCCGAGCAGCAGCCACTAGGTGCTGCTGCTGCTCGGGTGAGTTACATGACACTCAAACCTCGATATAAAGGATTATGGATTATAACTAAGTGAATGAAGAAAATCTCTGTGGCAGATACGGCATTACAAATGTATCTTATAATGAATTTTCGGACATAACAAAGTATTCTTGGAGCAGGTGTAACTTTGTAATAATGAGGTTTGAGTGTATCTGTCGGTGTGCTATAGAACATTTATGAAGGAGAAAAAGAAAGGAAGAGGAATGCATTTGAAGGTTAGCGTCCATCTCATATGCCCAAGGATGATTTCGCTTCTAGTTAAACTGTTGATGTTCATGACACTGCAGACGAATTATTCGCATGCATTAGCAAGATTCTGCTTTTCGACCGGACGGAGCGGCCTGGGAACTGTTGACCGACCCTGTATCTAAAGCATTTCCATGTAACAAGGGACAGGAGAACGCTTGCATAAGTAGGTTTCTTCTGATATCACCTTCTTGGTTTGCAGCACTAAAAAGTCTTTGGTAATTAATTAGTATCACATAAATTATCACCAAATTTGAAACGTAGCAGGCTCGTTATGCTTTACTCAAGTATGCAAGCCTTTCTCGCGGCTTGCAAAGATTGGCCACGCAAGTATTCTGCTGTGGAAAAAGCGAGAGCTTGTGTCTATATGAGCGCGTTAAGATCAAGAGATCCCGAACTGGGAAAGCACATAAGTGACACGTACGAGAGGCAGAAGGCGTAAATAATACACCTGCAACAAGAAAACGCTTTCACATAAGGCGCACAAAAGGTCCATTTTAATGTCAAACATATCCGCTGCTCGTAACAGCTCATCTTCCCTTACATGGATGCAGCAAGGCTTCTGCCTTTTTGTGTTGTAAGAACACCTGCCAAACTTTCATTTTGTTTTATTCAGAAATCGAACACCATTTCTCATAGGCAAAGAGCTTGACCATTTAAATATGTAAATAATATTATGAGGTTAATGTACCATAAGAGCAAACTGATTTATGAGGAACTTGATAGCAGAGGACACGGGATTAATTTCCACTGCCAGATCATTTTAACGTCTACTCAATGTGTTATACACTGCGTTATTCCATTCAACCCTCAATAAAAATGAGGCTGTTATCGCTGTATTTTGATTCAGCAATGTCACGCACAGAAATACATCATTATTACCGAGTTGCTATGACAAAAATCTTGGTATTTCCGATGCTGAGGTTTCACCTCAAAAGCACTAAGAAAAATCTAACTTCTCATCGACACCATGCAGCAATCCAAAAAAATTTTCAGCAGGGTCAGGAAGAGTCCAAACACACTAGAGTTCTGTGTAAGCATGTCACGTCATAAACCAGCACCGAAGCAACTTCTTATGAGATTGTTTGTGCTGCAGTCTGCAATAACTCTTTATATTAAAAAACGAACGATGTAGCCTTTCCCCGCCACACTTTAATTTCCAGTGCCCTGCCTCATATCCACTTTAGAGTCAGATCCATTCTGAGAATCCATTGCCGTGAAGACTTCAAGGCTGTCTTGAAAAGTTTGCTGTCTTGTGCTTCATTCTTGATACACACAATGCCTGACACAACACATCAATAGTTTCAAAAAGCTGGTCCTGCCACTTGTTACAAGAACTAGTCCATCGTGGACACCCACCCAGTCCTTCAGAAAGGTTCGCCCTCATCGCTCCACGAGTCTGGCATGCCTTCCTGATAGGCGTCCAGCGCCTGCTCGCGGTCAACGCACGACGTCCACCAGAGTATCGTGCGGTCGTTCGCGCCACTGAATGCCTCCAGGGTGTCGCCGCAGATGAGCACGCAGTTGGCCTGTCCAAAGTGAGCCCCGCTGAGTGCCTGCAGAGGCTGCTTTCGCACCAGGTTCATGAAAAGCAGGCAGTGGCCGGATGGAAGCAGGGCCACCTCCTGAGTTGCGGACATTTGCATGGGTGACCTGAAAGGAAAGAGACAGGGCCAAGCGGGGGGGGCAGTGAGTGCAATCCTTCATTCCAACCTGCCTTTCAGAATACAAGGAAATAAGGCTGAAGACTGCAGCAATGCCAGAGACGTCCCAAGAAATACTGAATGCGAGCGAGCGTCATCAGTCTTAAAATTGAGGATTTACGAAGCTGCCCAGTTAGGAGGAAAAAGAAAGTGCACTGGTTCCTTTGTTTTGAACAAGTTTCCTGACATGCGAAATTTTCAGGTATACAAGAAAAATGGCTGTGGATAAGCTCAGCTAGGCCTACTCATGCAAGAAAGCTTTAAAAGTAGGCTTGTGCAAATATTAGAGCACTTTGAATATTCAAACGAATAGGTACAAGAATACAAGGTACTCTTGCAGGTACAATAGATACAATAGATACAAAAAAAACCTGCATGCAACCACCCTGTAAAGGTGGTTTCACTACAGTGGAAAAGTGCTCCACTGTGAATACAGCTTTTCAAGAAAAAAAATCGAACACCACCACGAAGCCCCACTTCAAGGTTAAATGAACAAATTACCCTCACATCGATTCTTCCAGTTGTAAGTTTAAAAGCTTCTTATGCTGGCATATATGCTCATTTTAAAACTTACCATATTTTACAGGTTATCACTTGCACTCTACAGAAAGTCAAATCCTGCAGGTATTTAAAGTTACTCCAACATCCTTTCATTTGCACATGCTTTGTGTCAAAACAAGGCCCAAGCAATGAATGCGATAGCAACACATCAGTTTCTTATGCGAAGTAACACATCAAACTGTTATACGGAGTAAGGCTAGGATATTCAGGAACCATACAAAATGTAGTGAACATAGTCGAATGTTCGTTGAGCCGCAGCGTTTCTCGCACGCGCAGCAGTGCTTTATTCCTGTGTCTAGGCACATATGTGAGCCCGCCTTGCTTCAACTAGAATTCTGTCGGAGCTGTTTTGCAGGTGTTCGTACAACATGTGGTCGTATCAGAAAGGCCAAACTACACACAGCGGTTTGGCCGGCGTTTGTGCGGCATTTCCTCGCTGGGAGTCAGTTGATGTCGACAATACCGCTGATGATAGCGAAAGGTAAAGTTTGAATGCATTTCACCAAAACCTCCAACTACGATTATCCTAGACATCAAGTGTAGGCTTCGGTGTCGGAAGCAGCTGGATGATGGGAAAAGCTTGCTCATTGGCTCCTTTCTTCATATTCCCCGCCGCGGTGGTCTAGTGGCTAAGGTACTCAGCTGCTAACCCACAGGTCGGGGGATCGAATCACAGCTGCGGCGGCTGCATTTTCAATGGAGGAGGAAATGTTGTAGGCCCGTGCGCTCAGGTTTGGGAGCACGTTAAAGAACCCCAGGTGGTCGAAATTTCCGGAGCCCTCCACTACGGTGTCTATCATAATCATATGGTGGCTTTGGGACGTTAAACCCCACATATCAATCTATCTATCGTTTCTTCATACTGTATTTACTCGCATAATAAGTACACTTTTTTTACAGGAAGTCCAACTCCAAAGCTTTACATTGAAAGAACCACGTTAGCAATGAAATTAGCAAGCAAAAAAAAACTACGAAAAGAAAGCACCATCACGAAAATTCGCCGATTAAGTTTCCGCGCTGACGGGCTTCAGAGAGAGAGAGAGAGAGATTTTATTAGAAGGCGGAGAGGTCGGAAAGAGCTAGTTCGCTCTAGCCTGCTATTCTACACAGGGGATAAGGGAAGGGGCAAGGAAAGAGGGATGAAGGATGACGATGGGGACAAGAAGAGGTGGTGCGTATATACAGTAGCCACTTAGCATAGTACCCTACAGTCTAGTATCTAGTCCAGTGTTTTTGATGAAGTCGAAAACAGCCTTTGTAGCAGTTTTTGACACTGTTTGGTCATTCATTGCTGACAATATGTTGCTTTCACTCAACGACGTTCGTCCGATGCTTGCCAACGTTGCAGTTAGCATTTTTCTTTGCGCCACGTATAATGCACAGTTACAAAATATGTGAGCTAAAATTTGGCGCACTACTTGGCAGCGCTCACAATTCAGGCTGTCCATACGGCCGATTAGGTGGGTGTAGTGACGAGTGAAGGCGACGCCCAGACGAATCCGGTGCAGTATATTAGCATGCCTTCGGCTGATTTTAGCTGAAAGACGAAAAGTCATATTGGTGTCTGTTTCCCGCAGACGCTTGTTCCGATGATCTGGTAGCGACCAGCAAGTGGCAGCGCATTCGCGCATGAGCAATCTCAACAATGCGTTGCCATCACTTCGCGAATACAGTACTTTGATGTACATAGGAGCGTTGTATACTGCCACTCTTGCTTCGCTATGAGCTGTTTCGTCGCCAACCAGGTCGCAGTGTCCCAGAATCCATTGAAGTGTAATCAAGTGACCGCTTCAGAGCGTATGTGTAGTGAGGCCTTGAAGGGGTGGTGTCACAATATTTGCAGCTTGCACACTCTTTGCGGCAAGCCTCGACTATAGCTCCAACAAGCACGATACATGCACCAAGATTAATTTATTCTCACTAAATAGTTTATCCTATTACCCTATGGATGAGGACAATTTTCAGTTTCGGTTTGTGGCCAACGAGTAGGGCAGCGATGTAGCAGTGTAGGTGACTTCATACGATCACACAAAGCTTTCACAGGCATGTGTGGCACGTCTGCCTCCGCACACGTGCCACACAAGCACTTGCAGAACAAATGTGCCACTAGCTGCAGCAGCCGCGATGCTTTGCCGGTGCGTACCTGCCGTGGCGGAAGCCAGAGGTCACTCACCTTATTACAGATATGGTGCGACATCACTACAACTTTCGTTGCCCTTCCTATAAAGCTACAGTCAGTATTGGACACGCTCGCGATATGCCTCGATTAGGAGAATGAGCATTTAGGTACACTTGGGAAGTGACTTAAAATATATTCTAAACGTTTCCCGAGTACGACCATTCATGTGGAGTGTCCTTGCCTATACAAACAAAACCCACACGGCACCTTACTATAGCCTTAATATGATGGCACCATTTCCATTAAAGGGGCCCTGAAACACTTTTTCAAGTATCCATGGAATGAATTCACTGGAAGAGCTTATTGCCTTACGAATTCAACACTGCAAAAGTTTTAAGAATCGGTCGAGTACAAGCGGAGTTACAAAGATTTGTCACATGCTGCAATTGCATTCTCTCTTCTCTCGTCTTGATGAAAGCGATGGAAGCTAAGCTGAGAGGGGTGACAGGGGCAAAGAAAACACGTCACCTGCGCCTTGTGACCTTCAGCACTTTTTTTCTTAGAATGTGCGGTTTTTTCTGTGTGATCGCGCACGCATGCATGGACAAGTCGTGGCCTCCTGTAGGTGATCTCCGTAATGACCGAGCGCGCCATATTCAATTCAGCCAATGGCTAATAGATGGGCTTGCTACGAGTGATTTTTGAGCATCTTCTGTCATTTGTCGAGATAAGAGAAAGCAATTTTTAGCTGACTTTGATAATTATTGTGAATTGCAGGCTGCATGCTACGCTATAATATTTGGCTCGTGTCTTGTCAGGAGTCCACAACCAATCAGCAGCGTTTTCTGACCGTGCTCAAAAAGTGTTGCAGGGCCCCTTTAAGAAGTTTGTGCACAGTTTACACTTGCAGCACGTTGCTAGACAACTAAGAAGTAACAACCGTGACAGTGGTTAATTCACACTCACCCTGTGGATACATATGTGTTCTTTTCTAGCATCCTTCTTGGTGTATAAGCAGCATTGCTTCCAGTGTTGAGGTGTCAGAGTTGTTCATCAGCGCTTGTCCTGTGTGCTTTTTCTTGTTTTTTTTTTTTCGTGCGCCCTTTGTGCTTGAGCGACACGTTGCATGTATGGAGTTGCTGCCCATCTTTGTGTGACATAATTTCTTGCTATCGCATTTACTGTTTCACCCTAACACAAAACTAACTTCATTTTTTTTTCACATGCATTTTGCAAAATGGGACCATGTGCGCCCACGCCACATTGCTGCTTCGGATATGGGAGTTTGACAAGTTGACACACTAATCTACTACATTTAAGAGACCGCGGTGTCGATATGAGAGTGCACTGTCCTGCTCACGAAATTCAAGGACTTTCAAGGATGGCAAAAAAATTCCAGGACTTCAAAATGCATTTTCCAAATTCAAGGAAGGGCTTTCAAGTACTATTTCAAGGACCTGTACACACCCTGTGTAAATAGTGAATGTATGTACCAGTAAAAGGGGAAGCTGATGCAAAAAAAAAAAAAGAGTACAACATAAGTTACATAACTACACAGGCCTGCTATGTCATGCAGACCATCCATGTTATCCTTAAACTAGATGATAGTGGCGACCATGCTACCCAGGCTCCACCTAAACCACTAGAAGGTGCTAGTGACTTGCCGACAGCCATGCGTTCGCACTATTCGAAACACTAAAGAGAAGCAAGTTGGCTCACATGCAGCAGGCGAGTCCCGAGTGTGCCCTGCTCAATGTGCACTTCGCCACGTCCCACAGCTTGACACGGCCATCCCTGCCCATGGTCAGGAGTTGCAGGCCGTCGGGCAAGAAAGTCATGGCTGTCGTGCCACCCTTGTGGCCCTGCAACGTTGCCAGGCAGGTGCGTGCGCTCCTCACGTCCCACAGGATCACCTGCGTGCCGCACAAACAGTGGTCGAGCGAGTCTCTGTTCCAGGTATAAGAAGAGTTCAAGCTTCCTCTTCCTTCCTATCCCTCTCTCAGCCGTTCCAGGTATAAGAAGAGTTCAAGCTTCCTCTTCCTTCCTATCTCTCTCTCAGCCGTTCTTTCTCTATCTCTTTCACTTCCTATACTATCTTTTGCTCTCTCCTCTCCTCAACTTCACTTCCCTATCCCAGCCTTTAGGTAAACACCATACACTCAAGCCTCATTATAAAAAAAGTTGCAACTTACACAAAATTAAGTTTGTTATATCTGAACATTCCTTATAAAAGATATATTTCTAATGCTATATCTACTGCGAAACTATTCTTCATTTATGTATTTGGTTTTAACCAATACTTGGTTATACTGATCCAGAAGAGGAAGATGATGAACATGGTGTGCGCCAGTGCATGGAAACGACAGTATTCTGTTGATGGATGATATCCAACGACTGGCATAAATAGCCCTGCTATAAAAAAAAAAAGGAGGTGGAACTCGCCATGAAACATGACGCGGTCCTTAGATTAAAAGTTGGCACCAACTTTACTTGCGAATCTCAACAACGTGGTGCAGAGTATTTAGGAATAGTCAGAAGAGTGGATGATGAGAAGCCATCAACATGTTTGCAACCTTGGGGTGTTATTAGAAACGGTGCATTAAGATCAGATGCCTGGCTACACTGATGCCCATAATATAGGGTGTGCCAACCCACATGGTGGTGCCACCTGCATCCGAAAATTCTGCCGACAGCATGCTTCTGTTCGTGTTTGTACTCATAGGAGCAATAGAGCACGGGATCAGGTGAAGAAAACAGGCTTCTATGTTATGTCCCCTCTGCATCTGGAAAGGTCTGTCAGCAGTTAGGCTTGACTAGACTGCCATCGGCAAGCCAACTTTCCAATCCTTTCTGATAATGCCGACCATATGGCTGTGAATTTGTGGCATGTGTCTAATTTGCTACTGTTTCCACGACTCGTATTGGCACGGCAAGGCACTAACAACTCATCATCACCAGGAACAGACTTTTTGCTTGCTCCTCGGAAGGCACCTTACTTACAATGCTTTTGCATGTCCTTGATAGCATTTTTTTTTTTGTTGACACCCGTGTGCACGCTCACAACAAATACTGCCTATAACAAAAAGGTGCCCAATCTGTCATAAAGTTTGACATTATTGTATAGGACAGGTACAAAAAGACACATATCAATCCCTTGTGTCTGAAGAATATTCAACTTTTTATGAAGCTTTAGCATCATGTTGAATCTTTAAACAAAGATCCCTCTGTAAACACTAACACATTAAAAAATCAGAAGATTTCTCTTAGGTTCGTACTGCATTCAAATGTACGCAGACGTTCTCAATCGAGGAGACACATGTTGTATCAGAGAAGATGTGATCAAGCAAAATGAAATAAAAGTTCAGGGGAAGACCGAAACATGGAACGAGAATGTGTTAACCTAGGAATATTACCAATGAGAACTAACAAATAATAATGCCAGAGAGAGTATAGTGGATGTCGTTAGAAGTAATTGTAATGTGAAGAAAGAAGAAGAAACGAAAACATAACTTGCTGCCGGCAGGGACCGAACCAGCAACCTTCGAATAATGCGTCTGATGCTCTACTACTGGGCTGCACGGGGGTCCTCCCCCCATCCAATTTATAGGATATATATATGCATTTAACTGCAAGAGCGTCAGTCAGCGCCACCTATTGCCATTAGGGAGAGTGCGGGACACTTTTTTTTTCTGCCTGTTTGGCATTACGTAGTATGTGATCTCATTACGTGATGGCAGCTGACCAATAATCCCTCGCATACCACCTCAAGGCATGAAGTCTGCCAGAACGAGAGCGTCTCTCTGAATGAAGGGTGTAGATTTGATGGCTCGTTTTTCTTTGTTAGACACAGTATTATTGAGAAATATGAATATAGCTTGATGCAATGTTTCAACAAACAAACTTTCTTCATTAGGACACACGGTCAAAACAGCAGCTGCAGCAATATTCCTCGTTTGTTTCGTCACCATTTCACTCTGAATATCACATTGTTAGGGGCCCCACAGGTGTGAGCTTCATAAAAAGAACTGAAGTAAAGTTGCAAAGCTTACCGAACCATCTCGGGATCCCGAGGCCAGAAGGTTCGGAGTATGTGGGTTCCAGCGGACCGCAAGCGCACTGGCCGCGTGACCCCGCAGCTGCTGGCACGCTTTGCCCGTTCGCATGTCCGCCAACACGACCCAAGGTTTCTTGAATCCCACTGGAAATAAGCCACAACTCACAAATCTATCGCAATCTGAAAAAAGTGTACATAATACAAGGAGTCCATATATGCATGAATCAACATGCTAAAAGATGGTACACTCAAACCTCATTAAAACACAGTCTTACAAAAAAATAGGTTCATTATAACCACAAATTCATTATAAAGATTATTCCTAACACTGTATATACTGCAAGACTACTTCTCATTTGCTTCGTTATAACCGGTATTTCGTTATATCTGTGTTTGTTATATTGAGGTTTCAGTATTGACAACATCTTTCAAATAAGCTGTTTCACAATCCGAACAGGTTACGAAACTACCGCAAAGAAAAGCACTTTATTAGTGCTTCAAAAGACAACAATGTCCTAATCTCTTCCCTGCACGAAGAACACTCGCGTCAGTTGAACATTGTTGCCACTGGCATGTGTGCACACGAATATTTATTTTACTTATTAATTGATACTGTGGATCCCATTAGGTATCATTAGAAGAAGTGCATATTAACATGTTATAATATAACAATACCAATAGAAAACATTTAATCACAAGAAGATATTAGCAGTTAACAAGGTAAACAAGAAAACATAATAGTACATCATAATAATAGTACATCGAGCCTAATATCATCCCACATTTTCTCTTGACGAAAATGGTGTTTCTTGTTTATGGCAGACGGGATAATTTATAATTATATAGGCGAAATCAAGTTTGTCTTTCATGCCACTTCTATGAAACGGAAGTGGAGAACATCGATAGGCATTTGTTATATGATGTTCCTTTGAAGCAATGAGCACCCTGCCTTCTGCAAGGCTTCACACACTTCTAGCTGATGCCACACTCTTCCTTTCATCATTCCCAGTCATCTATCCTAAACTCACACAGCAGGACTCACCGGCCAAGAGGTTGGGTTGCGCCACTTCGACGTGATGGCAGAAAATGAGATCGCTGAGACGGACCAAGTCTACCTGCTGGAGCGCGTTGGTGTCCCAAATTCGAAGGGTGCCGTCCATGCCCGAAGATGTGAAGAGGCCGGTGTCACATGGGTACCAGTGTACTGATGAGACTGAGAAGATGTGCGCCTCGTGCCTGCACAGGACGTTTCCATTACCGAGTCAGCAACATGCATCTAAAATTAATTGCAAATGCGATGGTGCAGGTACGCAGTGGAAACCGCCGACAGCTTTTGTAGGTTAAAGATAAAACCCACGAAGAAAGAAGTGTTCGAGGAAAGGAATCTGTCAGGTTGTGGCAGCACAAAAAAGGCTGAGGAAAGGAATCTGTCAGGTTGTGGCAGCACAAAAAAGGAAGTTTTTTTGTTGCACCATGCTCTATGATTGTTGGCAGAATTTTTGCATAGGGAGAGCAAACCAGTGTTGCGTTGCGCCTAGGGGAGGGAGAGCACTGGTATAGCTTGGGTGAGGCAAGTGCCCTTTTTTACCCCCTCTGCCAACCTCCAATGCCGTGATCAAGAGAGTGCCCAGTCCATCTCAATATCTTGCACACTCTTCTACAAATGCAACGGACAAAAAAAAGCACTTATTGTGCTATATATTTCAAGTTTTTCCAGATTTCAACTGGTAATGTCAGGGAAAAGAAGGTATGGATACTTTAGCACATGTCGCTATCAAATGTTGCCATTCTGTGCATTAATTAGGTATCTTAATGTTATGTAATTCTAATACTGTCTACTTACCAGTGCTACTGAGTTAATTTTGTACTGTACTGAAGCAATTCTATGCAACTGAATGCATATATCGTACTAGAGGACTGTGGGGATCTGAGGCGCGCCCGCGACCATTTCGCGGGCATTTCCGCCACACGGCCACACCCTTTTGCTTTCCCGCTCTGTTAACACCACGTGGCGATAGATGGCGCCACGTGCGGGCACGGCACGCGGTACGCGCGCGCCAAGGGAGCGCGCTTCTCCGTTGGTCGGCGCCGGGTAAGCACGTGTTTTCCTTCGTCCGCGTCCCCTTTGGGAATCGCCGGACTGTAGCCTGCCTGGGGTGGCCTTGGGCACCTCGGCAAGCGTGTTTACTTGAGTGCTAGCTTCGGTAGCGTACGCTAAGCCCACAGCGGTGCCTAGTGCTTGAAGTGGTCGTACCACAACGAGCCGCACTTGCCGTAGGCCTACGCATACGAGGTTTGCTCTAACACTCGCGACCAGGCCCATTGGCCATCGTGAGAGTGCGCAGCATAGCCGCGAGGGACTTTTTCCCGACCGGCGTGTCAAAGCTCGCCATTGCCAGCTGCGACGTACTCGCGGTTTTCCCCTTATTGTGAACGTCCGCGGGCGGGCGCCTTTGCTACCCGCGTCCCGGAAGCAGACGTTGTACTGTTGTTCGGGGTGCCACCAGAGGCAATAAAGTGTTGTGTACTTTTGCATTAGAACACTGTCTATTTGCCGCGCCGCGCTAAACGCCTTATTAGTTGAGCGTGCGCGGAGCGGTACGCTACACGCGAGTAAACGGAGTAGCGGCCCTGTGGCTCGCTAAGCGTGAACCCGCGGTGATCGTCCGCTGCAGTTAGTAGCGGTGGGGTCACCACAAGGCGTCATCAGGTGATGCTTTCTTTTGAACACTAAGTTTTGCTGCAAGCACAGGTGTTGACAAAAATAAAAAAATAGATAAATAAATTAGATATTGTTCTGCCCTTGAAATCTAACTATCAGTACTTGCTTTGAAGTAGTCTAGATGACACCTGTTGATGAGCAGTGCCTCTGAATGGCCAGGAACCAGCAATCCTGAGCTGAAATAAGATGACTAGCCTAGTAAAACATGTCCTTAGCATGAATTACCGACTCTGTGATTTAATGGCATGACAGAAGGTATGCTGACGTGATAACCTTATCGAGACTCCAGAGCGAATGATGGTTTGCCAACTCATTAACTGTCACTCTATGCTGGAGCTATACAATTTGCCACAGCAAAAAGCTGAACGCCAACTCTTACCACCAAGGAAAACGAACCATACACTTACTGAACTGACATATTCAGGTGTGGTTACTTCATTTATTTTGTTGCTCGCAGCTCATAAGTTGATGTAAAAGGCCTTGCAGTTCTAGTACAGAGTGCCTAAACTACTAACAACTGCAGCCAGTCCTGAAGAAGGACAAGTTGCATGGCTGAGTTTATTGCTTATGCACTCAACGGAAGAAACTGGAATAAAAAGTCCGAACACAGCCTAATTCTGTTACGCAAAATACGGTAAGCACAAGAGGCATGCTCAACTTTCACATACGCCAAACTGTGTGCGCGAAATTTCGCCACAAATGTCACTGCAAGTTACTATTGTTTGAAGCTGCTGCACTCAAAACTGACAGGTACAAAAGCGATGAGAGGACAGACAGTACTCGATGTGCCAACTAGAATGGGCCAATACTAGACATAGCGGAATACCGAACTGCACTTTGATGGTGAGACTTGGAAAGCAGGCACACCAAATCACAAACGACAGGAAAGGAGGCATATTCTTCACCAAAAGAATTGTTCTTTTATACTGACACATTTCATTTTGCACTGAGAACATTCAGATACCTTTTGTTGTTTCAATATGTAATTGTTCAGATAATAAAGAATGCAAGCAGGGCATCTTCAAGGTAGCTAAAATGGCAACGTATGTAAAAGAACAGGCCAATAAGATTTTATGAAAGCTGCTTTTAGCATGCCATTGAGGTATGCAGGCGGTGATGCCAAGGTGAGCATATTGTGCTGCTTGCATACACGCCCGCCAGCAGGTAGGAGGAGGTGTCGAAATACTAAGAGTGCGACGTGTGTACAGCTGCCAACAACCTTATATTGGACCTTGGCATTTATAGGCAAAGATCCCTTGAACTTGAAAGTGCAAGGATGTTAGAGTTACTTACTTGGAAAGTTTGCAGATGGCCTTGCATGTGCGTTTGGTTTTGCCCAAATCGGAGTACAAGTCATGGATGCAGAGGCCCCCATCAGCACCGCCCGACAAGAGGCTGCACACGAAAAATTTCATAACGCTCAGCATTGTCACCTCTGCCGCTCTTAGTAAATAGAGACTTCAGGTTGGGAAAAATAAGCAGTTTATGTATAGGGGGTACTATGCACTGAGCCTTGATCCGCAATGGGGCAAAACCATTGTGCCATTTTCAAGGTCCTTTTGCACACACTGTCCGCACGTATACAAGTTTCCATATGAATTGCTGACAAAGTACGTGCTGCGAGTTTCTTGCATGTGTAGTGAGCCCGCAGATCTCTAAAAAATGGCAATCCCACCGTTAGAGATTCTCGCAGATGATGTCAAGCGCATACCCCCTATACCTGAAGCCGAATCTTGCCCTCACTTCAGTAAGAACTTCATTGAACTCAGTGAGGTGTGGTTGTTGAGAAGGATGACTTATCTGTCCTCATGCATTTACATTACAGCTCCTGCACTAAGGCTGATCCACTCCGCTAAACTGCAGGAATCACGTGACCATGTTGGCAGCTTTGGTGGCAAGTAACAAAGTATTGGGTCTTTTGCTTCACTGCTTGATTGTCCAGTCGTGCAACTCAGTAATGCTGGAGCAAGGAGGCTGTATTCTTATATTATGCAGTGACATGAACAGATATCTCATGAAACATATTGCTGACAATGGGCACATCACATGAGTCACGGTCAACATTGGTCATAGCAAGTCACTCCTGGGTCACCGGTTGTGTAATGGTGCGAACAAACTCTCAAAGCTTATTTTGGACGCTTGCGAATTTTGTAATACTGTCTCATTCACCACCTTCTCATGTCCTTTGAGAGGTTCGCAGGATGACACCTTTTACATGCGGTTCAATAGGCACCGGCAACAAACACTTTCTGAAACTTCAAAAAATGATCCACAGTTCAGCATCAACTAATTGTCTCAACTAAATATTGTTTACAGCGATAGCATGCATTCATATTGCTGTTAGCTCATCGTACTCAGCCTGATCTTTTCTTCAGAAGTCGCACCTCTCTGTAAAGCATAGCACGGAATATTCGCAATGTCCACGGTACTCAAGATGCCAGTGAAAAACAGCAATTAAACGGCTACTGGAATGAGGTTTTTAAAGTGTGGCACGCCCACGCAATCTATTCGTGCATGAAACATGGAGCTGCCCTTCGTGAACAACAGCAAAGCCAACTTACTATCGGCCATCAATGGGATCTAGCGACAGGCAGTTGACTCCCGAACCATGAAACAGTTCGAGATCTTGGTGACGGCTCAGTTGGATGCGTTGTAGTCGCCGTTCCCTCTGGGACACTTCGAAGGCGACTCGCGGCACAATGCCACACTCGACACGATGGTCAAGCATAGCGACGGGGACCGCCGGTCAGGAAACGTAACTGCAACACTTATTAGTTCGCAGTCTTTTCGGACACTTTGCCACCAGCTCCTGAAGGTATTTCCTCACTGTTCATTCGCACTGTTCCACGTCATTGTCAGTCAGCAACCATCCATCCGCAACCGGCATCTCACAGCTTGCGATGTTGAAGCCGCTCAGAGTCGATACTTCGTGCGGAGAATGCTTCTCGGCGTTCGAAGAACACAAACACTCGACATCACTGCGTTACGGTCTTGACGGTGCGACAAGACAGCCGGGAAGACGTCTGAAAGATACGGGCAGTCGTATAAATTTCCATAACAAACACGACAACCGCGACAGAGACGCTTCGTGCTTCGAGCGCTTTCGTACTTGGCTTGACGATTGGCTTGTTGAAACTTGTTCCGACTTTGCGCTTGTCTTGGCTGAATTACCGAATCGATAGTTCAGTGACTTGCACCACTACCATTGCCTCCTAGATTTCTCTTGCCTGCCGGATGAGCGCGAAACGTCCGTCGTCTATGGTAGCGCTGCCTACGTAGGGGTAAGGGTCTTTGTACTTGGCCTTTGAGATAAGCAATTTTGGTGTTTGCTACTAACTTCAGAGGCTATGCCTTGTATTGAAGGGTTTGCCTGCTGAATGAGGGATGATGTTCCCTAGTTGTTTCATGGTTGTTTCATCAAGGATGAGGCAATATTTGTACGCCGTCTTCGCGACAGCAGGACCAACGATTGCTTTCATGTGAAACATTTACCGCTAGTTTCTGCTGCATGACACGAGCAAGACACCACAGTACATTAATCAGAACAACCCTGATGCGAGACACTACGACGACCCCGAGGACAGCCGCCTCGAATGGCTCGAGTTAACTTGTCCTATGTATATGGAAGAAATAAAAAACAGGTCACCTTCCCCGCAAATTTTTTTCACCGCAGAAACGTACGAAGCGCCTAGCAACGTACTCCACGGTAGCTTTCATTCGGCATTTGCTTTCAAGAAAGGTGCTTTGCTTTGTGCTCATTAGGAAGTTTAATAGTGACCATATTGAATCCCTGTTCGGTACGTTGAGATGACCACTGGGATCGAATGACACCCTGGACGTGCGATCTGCAATGTCAGACCTGGAGAAGCTGCTGAAAACGGGAATAGCAGCCGTGCCTGAAGGCAGCAACGTACGTCTTATACGAGCAAGAGTCCAGACCAAGCAAAGCGCTCCCTGCAGTAACCCGCACACCCAGGGATCTATCTGAGCTTCCTCGAGGTGCCACAGGCGTTCTCAAGCGTTTAAAGGTGAAAACTGTGCCAGCCATTTTGCAAACCCTGCAAGATACAGCCACCGTATATATGGGCGGCTACATCGCCCGTGTTGTAAGGGAACACATCGATTGTGCTTACTGCTGTCATCTAACGAGTAAAGTTCCCAGCAGCCAGCCGCTGCAACAGTTCACCAGGCAACAGGATAGAAGCGGGCTTCTGTACCCCTTCTTTACGTCCTTGAGATGCTAAGAATGTTCGCTAGCCGTGCACTGCAGGAGGGACCTAATCTCCGAAGGCCCCTAACACCCTTGCTAAACGCAGCTGTACCGGCGCTGGTAGATTCAGCCCTTTTGAAATGCGCAATGGGCGATGACTAGCATCGCCAAGACTTGGCTGAACTTGTGTGTTCCCGTTTCATTAAGCACTTGTTGTTAACTACGCCTCAGCTGCAACCGACAGAAGCGATGCGGGCAAAAACTTCCTTCGAAAATTCTTGTCAAGGAAGTACCTGAGGGTGTAATATACCAGCACATTGCTGATGCAGAGCACTACACATATAGTTCCTGAGAAGTCAGCTGACAGGATGAACACGTCAGTCTAAAGAGCTTCCATCGGTAATAACATGTGGGGTTTAAAGTCTCAAAACCACGATATGAATATGGGAGCCGCCGTGGTGGAAGGCTTCAGAAACTTCGACCACCTGGGGTTCTCTAACATGCGCCTGATTACAACCACACGGGCCACAATTTCGCCTCCATCGAAAATGCAGCCGCCGCGCCCGGGATTCGATCCCGCGACCTTCCGGTCATCAGTCGAGTGCCATAACCAATAGGCCACCGTGGCGGGGATGCCATTGGTGATTCCATATGCCAGAGTGCCGCATCCGAAACCAGTCAGCGACATAGGAGAATGCTTTTGCTGACTTCATGAGGCCGGGTATGCCGATACAGCCATTTCCAACAGCTCGCCTGGTATTCAGCATACCGACCGTACCTCGATCGCTTTGAATACCACATACAGTTCCGACTGCCGTCGACATCAGTGCATCTTCGTAGTGAAACACAGCCGGTGACTTTCGTGTGACATTGCATCCACCTTGCATCTGTAGTGAACACGATAACGATTTCTCGCCCCTAGTGCACCCTCTACGTCGAGAGTTCAACAGATTCCGCGCACTGCGATATGCGCCATAATGGGTCGAACGCTTTAAAGCAAGGGCAATTATGGGAGGCCGGCTCTAAACCACAAACTCCGAACGTTTGTAATGGGTGGACCTTGAAAACTTTCCCCTCGTTTCGCAATTCATCCCTTCCGACGCGATTCTATAGTATACACTTCCGCCACGAATCACCGTGACTTTGTGGTATGTCGCCTGCTTCCCACCGAGACGTACCCAGACGGTCCAGATTTTAATCTCACTCAGACCAATGTTTTTATTATTTATTTTATTTGCAGTTTTCTCAATTTTTCGGCCACGAGTGATTTTTCACTCACATCCAACGACGCTGTCATTGACGCCAATGGAGGATTCTCTACGAAACAAGCTCTCGAACGCTATCGTGTTTGTGATTCTGCTACATTAAAAAAAAAACTCTTTCATTCCCACGCTCAAGTACTGAGCCCGCTCGCGCCCCGCTGCCTTCTTTGTCGTCGCTGCCTCGGCACACCAGCACGCGACAACGGCAGGGCTCCCCCACAGCTCCCCCTGCAGTCTTGTTTAGACCAGTGGAGCCTGTTTTACTTTGTTCGAGATGGCTTCGTGAAAGATGGCGGTTGAAGTATAATGATGGTATGGTGGCTAGAAGGGGTCGCCCTCTTCTAGCCACCGTAATGATGGTACCATTTACAGAGGATGCATATACACAATGTTGCTTGAACTGCGTGCGACAGTAGTATGTCTCATGGATGTTTGACACAAATGTAACATCGCACTTGAGTCCTCTGAAAGTTGCCTTTTTCTTTGGAACTCGCGTTTCAAGCTCCAGGCGTGCCTTCGTATAGCCTCTCGTTCTGCTTGCCTAGATCTAAATGCATGCCTCATCAGGCTGCTCGTCCACCCACGATCTTCTTGCGCCCTGAACCCATGCGCTTACCCGAGGCTGCAAAATAGGATGGTGTCATTCCGAAAACGTTTAGGTGATGCCAGTTTGATCACATGGTTTCATTCCAGCTTCACGCTGCAACCACATGATTTCATCATTCGGGTCACGGCCAAACATCGGCCTCACAGCTGCCTTGACCAATGAACGCTTGCACGCCGTGATTTTCTTAGTTGAAGAAAATGGAACGGAAGAAGTCACAAGAACAATTCCTACCGGTGACAAAAATCCAACATATACATAACGAGGATCTCACCGAAGTCCCAAAAAGTATTAGGCGTGTTGAGTTGGGTCGCTGACAGCTAGGTCGTGGTGCGTTGAGGAAAACACTGGCGGTGTCGATGTATAGCGAATGCTCGGGCCGGGTGTGTTGCAGTATGGTCATTCTTGCGCTCGCGTCTGCCCGACTGGCAGAGCTGCAGACTGATTCGACAATCGTCTGCTCGGACGGGCGTTTTCGACCTTTCCAGGCCTTCGAACTTGCCCGTAGGCTTGAGTCCGAAACCCAACGGCAAGCGCGCGCCTTCTTTGTTTGTAGTCTCTATTCCATGTGTGATGACGTTTATTGAACCGGAGAAGTCGCAACGATGTCGCAACGAAAAATGGCCGTACGACAAGTCTGGCAAAAGGCGGCCCAGGTTCTCGTGCAATCAGAGCACGGGGTTTTTCCTTCTCTTTGGAAGGCGCATACACGTTAGTGCGTATGCTCCACTACAATACCCCCCGGGTTGAAGAGTAGCCATCCTGGCGACTCAGGGAGTAGGCACAATGAGGGGGTCGTAGTAGGGCTTGAGACGGTCGACGTGTACGGTCTCGCGTCCTCGACGGCGCAAATCTGGCGATTGTGTTAGGGGCTCAACGATGTAATTCACTGGTGAGGTTGCGTCAATGACACGGTATGGACCATGGTACCGGGCCAGAAGTTTAGAAGACAGGCCAGGAACGTGCGGGGGCACCCAAAGCCACACGAGGGAGCCAGTACGAAACGTAGGCGCTATGTGATGAGCGTCATCATGCCGGGTTTTTTGTAGACCTTGAGCCTCACTTGTCATAGACCGAGCCAACTGACGGCAGTCTTCAGCGTATCTGGTGACTTCCGAAAGCGGGGAGCACTCCGATACATCAGGGCGGTACGGGAGTATGGTGTCGAGTGGGTGGGATGGTTCGCGGCCGTACAACAGAAAGAACGGGGAAAAACCGGTAGTCGCTTGCGTCGCGGTGTTGTAAGCGAAGGTAACAAAAGGCAAGACAGCGTCCCAGTTAGTGTGGTCGGAGGAGGTGTACATCCTCAGCATGTCGCCAAGTGTGCGATTGAACCGTTCAGTGAGACCATTCGTCTGTGGATGGTATGCGGTAGATTTCCGGTGGATGATGTTGCATTCAGCGAGAATAGCTTGGATGACCTCCGACAGGAACACTCGACCCCTATCACTGAGTAATTCCCGTGGAGCCCCATGGCGGAGAATGAAGCTGCGGAGAATGAAGAGTGCAACTTCGTGGGCGGTCACTGCTGGTAGAGCTGCAGTCTCAGCGTAGCGTGTCAGATGATCGACGCCGACAATAATCCACCGGTTTCCAGAGCGACTATATGGGAGGGGGCCATAGAGATCGATACCCACGCGGTCGAATGGGCGAGCCGGGCATGGGAGCGGCTGTAACATGCCAGTAAGGTGCCGCGGAGGTGTCTTGTTCTGTTGGCAAGTGGTGCAAGACTGAACGTATTTCTGCACAAAGCGATACATTCCTCGCCAGTAATATCGTTGGCGCAGCCTTTCGTAGGTTTTCAGGACACCTGCGTGAGCACTTTGAGGGTCTGCATGGAAATTCATGCAGATGTCAGAGCGCATATGAATTGGGACAGCAAGGAGCCACTTCCGACCACCAGGCATGTAGTTGCGGCGGTACAGAATGCTGTCTCGCACGGAAAAGTGGGCTGCTTGTCGGCGTAGCGCTCTCGTGGAAGGGACAGCAGACGGATCGGTAAGGTAGTCGAGTAACAATGC